AAAATATCCCCCAATAATTTTGAGCAGAAAACTATCAAGTTGACAGCCCTAAGACACAAATCCGAGGCCGTAGACTCTTTGCAATACAATTTCCTTTGCAAGTTTGAAAAACAATAGGTAGGTATGTAGGTAGGGTAAATGTCTGGCGACACACCTACGTCTTTAGTAGGCTCATTGTGAAACCACAGAGTCTAAAATCCTCTCACTGTATTATGTCCTCTCTGAACCACCCTGTGTTCCTGATGAAATTCATCAATGCAAAAATTAGGTGCAACTTTTGAGTCATCGTCCAGAAACGACAGATAGTTGCGATTCTTTTCCTATACAAAGCTTTGCATTCGCATAGAAGATGTTTTATAGTCTTCTCTTCTTCTACTTCCTGACAGCTTCTACAATAGCCATTGTATGGAGTTCCCAGTCTGCTGGCATGTCTGCCAATTAGACAGTGACCTGTTAGCAATCCTACTAGAGTTCTTATGTCATTCCTTTTACATTTTAATAGTCAGCATGTCTCCATATTACATGACACGTTTGCCTGCTTGTTGAGCAAGTTAGGGAGTGACTCCAACGAGACTCAGCTCAGTAAGCAGTAAGCCGGAAAGCGGCTTCTTATATACTGGGTTCCAGGCCGCAAAAGAATTCGGCGAAACAAAATACCTGATGAGATTGCCTAAAGTGCCATCCGTCGTGCTACCAAACCAGCACAGAATACGAAAGTTGCTAAAAAAAGATACATAATGCATTTTCCAAAAGGGCTGACAGACAGTTCAGGGTGAGATGAAATGCCAAGATCATGTACAAGAGCCCCGAAGATAAACATGCATGCTTTTTACTGACACGATCTGGAAATCAATACAAGATGTTTATTTTCCTAATGACAGATCACAACTTCACATGCGAGCCAGATAGACATTAGAAACGATGATGCATGCAGAAAATGCAGGGAAGTAGGCATGAGAGCGACGCTGGAACACCTTCTAAGCTTCTATCCAGGCTTACCTAGAAGTCCTCTTAGATATCCAGGAGCTTTACAGTTCAAGAGACTAGATTAAGTATCAAAATTAGATATCAAGGCGCCTTTAAAGTTCACGCTGACTTCCTGTATGATGAATACTACAGCCCAATTCAAATTCAGCCTCCATCTGGCAATACTATTTTAAGGTTCCGTAGGTATATGTATGGCATGACAGCCGCCCAGCATAACTTAACCTAACCTAACCTATGATTCAGTTACCTAATGCTTGTCTCAAAAGATGAGGCTTTCGCGCGCTATAAGGCTTACTGCATCGGCCTGTTGGAACGGAAATACTATATATATCTGTATATATACAAACACCCTTTGAAACGCAGCTTCTCCACTTTTTTATTCGACATGAAGTAGTCCTGTTCCACAACTATTAATAAAATTATTTCTATAAGAATATACACAGTTATCCATGTAAATATAGTGCGCTCATCTCATTAGATAGACAACCGCAGTATGGTTGCATTTTTAATTATTCTGCAAATACTTAAATCCTCACTCACTGTCTTATCAAGCGACGCTCGTGTTAGTAAATAAATACAATGCAAGTATATGTTTGCAGCTATACGAATAACACTATCTGATAATTTTACTATCAGTTTTTTATGTTATCTCTTTCTTCTACAAGCATGTAAAGTGTGGCTGTAGAATTGCAAAACCATTGTGGCTACTGATAACAAGCTAATATATGTTGCGACAATATGTTTGACAGTGTTTTCTAAAAGTGGTATTAACTTCGTTACAGACATACAAATATAACATAAATAATTCATCATACTTTGTGCCCTGACAGATAACCACGGAAACCGCATCATGAGCTCTCTTAGCCTTAAATAATCAGTATGCTAAGAATTACTTTGAAAACGATTCATATTAACTCACCTCCACTTAAGCATATAGCGGATATAATTGGAACTTTTCACCACAGTATTGTGTAAACGTAAAGGACTTGGTTTCAAAAGCTTTGCAAGTTCCTTCACATCTCTGGTTGGTTGGACTTGGGATACTAAAAGCGCTTACCAATTATATATGGGAATATTAAATAATATGGGTCTGTATGAAAAATGAGCTTACAGTGAAAAAGCTCAACACTTAATCAAGTGTTATTGATAACAGTGAAGCCTCAACCACTTAAACTTTTAATACCCTCGCAATATTGGACGCAGGGTACACAAATTTTATTCATATACTTGTAAGAGAACGCAAAAAAAAATTCGAAATAGATGTAAAGTGAGGTACATATATTAAAGGGTACAGATCGTTTCGACGAAACAATTGAGCTATGTTCCCATATTCGTCTATATTAAGGTGCCTTCCTTCCATAGTTCGAAAAAGTGAAGATCAAGGCTGAAGAGATTGCCAAAAGTGCCGTTCGTCTGGCTAACGAACCAGTGCTTCCTGCACAGAATACAGTAGTCACTAAAAACGATATGCAATGAAATTTCCGAAAGGGCTGACAGGCGGATCAGGGCGAGATAGAATGCCTTAAGTTCATGCAGGATCGCTAAGATCATGTGCAAGTACCCCGAATTAAAACTCGCATGCTTTTTACTCACACGATTTCGAAAGGATTGACGGAAGGTTGTTAGCCGGTCAGCCGGATGGATATAAGTAACGACGATACATGTAGTAAGTGCATAGAAGCTGGCATGAGCGAGACGCTGGAATACCACCTATGCCTCTGTCCAGCACTATCTAAAACTATGTAGGTCTATGTATGAAGTGACAGCCGGCCAGTAAAACCTAACCTAACCTTGAAGCTCATTTGGCAATTCATTAGCTTAAAAACCATCAGCATTAAGAAATATTTCGAATTCGCCTTTCAAAGCATTGCAGAGATTACAAGCGCATATTAAGAAGATGCAATAACATTTGAATAAATCTAGAAGAAAAAGATTCGGGTAAAAATCTATTAATACAGAGCTTTAGCTTATCGATAAGTATTCAAGGAATTAAAGCCCACCACAGCCTCACAGCCTTTTTTGCGGTTACCACATAGAATTTATGTGGAATTTACTCTACTACAATACTACTACTACTACTCCACTCTTTACTCTAGGACTACCCAAACTTGACCCAAATCACAATTATAAATTAAAATTTGTTCGAGAAATCTCCAATTGCTTTACCAATAGATTCAATAGTGTCTCAAGAAAGACTATTTTGTTCTTATTAATATTTAGTTTTTCACTAAGTTTGTAACTCCCAGAAGAAAACGATGGAGACCGTATAATGTTATATACATACTTGTATATGTATTTGATCAGCGCTCCGAGCAAAGTCGATTTAGCCATGTCCGTCGCTCTGTATATACACGAACTAGTCCCTCGGTTTTTGAGATATTAATCTGAAATTTTGCACACGTCCTTTTCTCCTCAAGAATCTGATGATTTGTCGGACATCGCCAACATCGGGTCACTAAAAGATAAGCTGCCATACAAATTGACCGGCCAAAATCCATTCCTTGTATTCAAGACCTTTTTTTTTTGACAAGGTATCTACACGCGATTTGACACAGATTATTGTCCAGAGCTAACATATAATCTCCGAGGTGTGAATCAAGTTTTTGTATTATACATAATAAAAACCTGTAAAGTGTATTATATATAGCTTCGATTCTATTTTTCTTGACTTTCCCATCGCCAACAAAACCAACAATTTCAATTGTATATAGCATCTGTTTTATTATCATATAATTTATTATCATTTAATATATTATTATTTTAAATTTAATTATTATTTAATGTATGTTTGTATTACATTTTAGTTTTAAATCAGTTTTTCTTTACAGTAAATTGCCTTATGTCCGTTACGTTAACAAATAGCATACAACACAGAATCCAAGATTTTTTTAATGTTTAAATTTTTTTTTTTTTTTTGTTTAGGTTACATGTGGACACAAACAAATAATGCTAGCGCATACTTACTAGCACTGCTAGTCTCAAGTTTAGATCAAAATATAATAAATTTGGTTTTTAAACATTTTACCTTTTTAAATATACATATATTTGTAATAAGTGTGTGTATATATATAATCTATCATCTTTAACATACATAGAATGTAAATATCAAGTTTCAATATACATATACATACATATTATATTTGTATTTACTAGAATTTATTAGATTTTACATTTTTATCTGTTTGAACCTAGTTACAAAAATCGTAAAATATACATGTCTTGAAGTAGTTTTTTATATTTTATATATTTTTTTTATATTATTTTTTATAACTATTTTTTTTAGCATAATCTTTTTTAACATTATTTTTTTTAACATAATCTTTTTTAACATTATTATTTTTTAATATTACTATTTTAATAATATTATTTTATAATATTATTTTATTTTAAATATGTTTTTCATATAATTTTTTTTTAATATTATATTACTTTAACATTATTTTTTTAAATAAATTTTTATTTTAGATTTTGTAAAATACACATGTCTTTAAACTGTTGTTTTATTTTTTATATTTTTTTTAATATTATAAAACAAATATTTAAAATTATTATTTTTTAATTATTTTTATTTTAATGTTAATATTTTTTTTTTGTATAATTTTTTTGTTAGTATTACTTTAACATTATTTTTTTAATAAATTTTTATTTTAGATTTTAGTTTATTTAGATTTTACATTTTTAGTTGAACCCAGTTACAGAAATATTTTTTTTTTAAATATTAAATATTATTTTCTTTGAATATTAAATATTATTTTTTTTAAATATTAAATATTATTTTTTTAAATATTAAATTTTTTTTTTTTTTTAAATATTATAAAATAAATATATTTTTTTATATATAAAATAAATATTTTTTTATATTATTATTTTTTTTTATTTCTTTATTTTTTTATATTATTTTTTTTATATCTTTATTTTTTTAATATTATTATTATTTTAATGTTACTTGAATTTAATTATTTTTTTAATATTATATTTTTTAACAAATTTTTTTCAAATATATTTATTCTTCAATATTTTATTATTTTTTTACATTTTTATAATTTACATTTTTTTTTTTAATATTTTTATTATATTGAATAATTAGTTGACAATCTCAACCGCGAATTTGTAACTCACGCAAAAATTCTGAGGGCGCAGTTTATTTTTTTTCGTATTAAATTGTATTGCTCATTGTCTCACTTGCATTGTTTCTTCAAAAATTTCCATTTGCTGCAAAATAGACAATTTTTGATTTGTTACACTTTGCTGCTTACTTTTGCTTCATTTTAGTCGTAAGAATTTGCAAATGAATTCACCAAAGCACGTGTAACGCGCAAAGAATGTTACCCGCATTAATAAATAGTAATTTTCGTACAAATACAATAGCAACTGCAGTTTGTTGGCTAAAAAGCAAAATTATAAATTTTCACATTTTCATTTTGTTTAAGTATAAGTGGAGGAGAAGGACACAATAAAATAAACAGCAACATTTACGTATAAATATTTAATTACTTAAAAGTAGTTATAAATCCCTTGCTACATAAACAAAATGTAATTTGCGTTCTTGCTGCGCTTTTACCGTTCCAATATATATGTGTGTGTATTTGTTTGTAGTGGCTGGCGGAAATTTAAAAAGCTAACAGAAAACAAAAAAATATTTATGTAGTAGTCTAAATTATGCTACACAAAGCTGATAGCAATAGCCTGCATCGTCAAACTAGCAGCAGCAGCAACAGCATGGCTAGCAATTGCATCTCAACCCTGCAAGTACCCCACCAACAGTTGGTGTTTTTTAGTATGTGTTGTAGCTGCTAAATATGCTTTGCGCCTATTGTCGTATCGTATTAGCACTGTATTTCTGTGGTCACACCTTTAATACTCTCTGAACTAAAGTGCACGCAACCGTATTTGCACACCAACGTCCAAACGTATGGAATGAAAAACTCTTCTGGGGCATCTTCTTCAACATACTTGAATTTCAGATCGGGAAATTTCTGTAAAGCGCAAAAAAAGTTTATATTGTTTTTAGCAAGTTTGTGAATTTTTTTTACCCGCAAGCGATCACTAGACCACTGGCTAGCGCCCTTCGATATAACCTCAAACACTTCATTGACACCTAATTCGCCACGCTGCTCCTGCACGCGCTGCAGACGCGATGAAAAAAAGCCCACAACCTAAAATTTAAAAATTAATTACATTTATTTTTCCAACTTATACGGCAAACACTATCGTGGCATGCATACCATATCGATGTTTTGTATGATGTCTTGAAACGCATGATGACTGCGAAAACTTTCGAACACGCTGCGCTTGTAAAGCAATGTGTACACTAGATTTGGACAGTACACGAGCTGATTCGATAGACACGAGTTGAGTATCTCCAAAACCATGCGTAACACCTCCTCCAGCACTGTGAGATCTTGTAGCATATCCTCAGGTGTTGTTGTAACATTAACAGACACAGCATTATTGACTGGCTCCTTCAGTTGTGCATCGAGCCGTGTATGCTTGCGCGCTAATGTCTCGAAGAGTGATATCAGTCGTTGCGCTACATATGGATGTAATGCACGAAATTGTCCCGACATATTCGCCAGCGCTGCCAAACAATTCGTATGCAAATATTTATCGCGCATCTTCAACATATTGTACTGTATAGTACGTATGACAACCAGGATGAGAAGGCCGCCCAGTGATATTTCGGAAATAGTGCGCTCGGTGTACCAATGTATATTTTTAAGCATCTAACGGTAGAAAAAATTTAAATAAATTTTAATATATAGATAAAATATATATGGCGTATGCACTCACTATATTATGCACATTCTTATTGAAGCCATCATCTTCGCTCAGTATTAGCAAGACAATGAGTGACATGTAGATGTGATGAGAAGTGCTATCCGGCGCATGGTAGAGCGTCTGCAATATCGGTATAACCAAATTTTCAACATCATTTTGTGCCATTACAAAGCGATAGAAACGTTCATTTCGATGTAGCAGAAGATAAAGTAACAATGTTGCCTGATCAATGGTCACAATGCGGCATAGTGTTTCATAAACCGAAGAGAAATCGATTTGAAAGGAAGCGCCATCTTTGGGTGAGTCTTTCGAATCGGCACAGCCAAATAGGCTGGCACGATATGGATTATCCTTAGTGGTACAGTGATTCGTTAAGATGAGTATGAGTAGAAGACTTTGATTGGCGAGTGGATAATGATCACGAAATTGTTGTGAGAGTTCAGCACCTGAAGCGCTGGTTGCTTTCAATACGTCCTGTTGTTTGCGAAATGTGAAAATGGAGAGTAAAGACTCGGCGATGCCAAAGACAAATGAGCCGGACGTTGACGAACCGAACATTGTGTGTGGCACTTCTATCATACGTGCCACGAAATGTAATAGCGCCGAGACGAGCACATTTGCATGCTGACATTTGTATATAGTTCTGTAAAATTAAAAAAAAAAAAAATGAAATATTGAAATCTATACATTTAAAACTTGCATTGCGTATTTACCTAAAAATTATTGATTTCTCTGTGGGTTGTTCGGTGAATAGATGTACAGAGAGCAGAGTGATGAATGTGTTCACCGCCTCCAAATGCAAGTGATATGTGAAATCCCTGAAGAAAAAAAACAAAAATGCAAAAATATTGATACAAACTTAAAAATTCCATAACAAAGCATATTCAACAATTCAACAATTACTTGACTGGAATCACCACAATCAAATTGACCAGCGCATCAATGAATCTTTCGAACTTTGCACCGTCAACGACGACCGCTGCCCTCAGTAGCAAGTTAGCAGTAGCGTCCTCCTCCGTTGCCTCAACCGCTATGATGGCATTCTCGCCGTGCACACCTGTTGCTGCAGCATCTTCCTCTGCACGCAACAACTCAGCACTTGGTATGGCTTCAAAATGTTGCAATAGCTGAAACTCTGATCCGGTCTCGATGATGTATTTAATTAACGAACGTATGATGAAGAGCGCATTGAATGTTTGCCAAATGTGCACATTACTCTCTTTGTCGGATAAAGCTAGTAATTCTGATGCTTTGTGCAAAAACACAGCTATAAATGAACCAAAATTTCCCGTCTTTAAATTGTTACTGATGAACAATTGGCAAAGTGTCTCCAAACGTGAATCCAAATTTAGCTGTTCTTGACTGGAAAACAAACACATAAAGTTTTAGCGCCTACAAGGGTGGGGTGCACACGTCAGCTTTTCACGCAGCTCGCCCACTTACCTATCTTCCGGTATTGTTATATGATAGTTTAGAAGTGCATTCCAAAACACCTCAGCGTCTGGTGGAATATGTGTACGTCCGACAAAACGTTGCAAAAGCTCATTCTCGGAGAGATTAGCTTGTCTGCTGACGTTGATCCCCATGGTTTGTTTGTTTTACGCACAACGCTGATATGCTGCCAACGTCGTCGATATCGCTTTAGATCTGGTTTTGCAGTAGCTCACGCCACTGTCACAACGTTAACGTCAATGTCGTAAACGTCGTCAACAATACCTAGAGCTCTATGTAAATGAGTCTTTTTACACTGCCCTCAAGAATTTCCACCTCCTTACACCTGTTTGCTTTTATTTCATCATTTGTCTTTTGGGTCAGGTTCAAAAATTTTGTCAAATTTGTGCTACACAAAAAAATTTAAGATTTTCTGCAATATTTTTGATATTTTCCTGCACTTGTCGGCGAATTTCAGAAATACTATATAGAATAGTAAAATAATGCTGCCACATAACGCATTTTGGTTTTAATTTCTTAACGCTACTGATAATGTAAGCCCTGTAAACAAATATTCAGTTGTAAATTTATGCTCTATCTCTTAAAATAATTTCGTTTGAAAAATATATTTAAAATACTATTTACAAACTGTATAATTTTGTTGTATTGTGCAAAAACTACACAAAGTCTTAAATATGGCATGTTTTAAAAGTGGAACTAATATAGTTGCACAACGCAAAGAAAATCAGAAACGTCATCGTTGGTGTGTAAAAAGTAATTGGAAAGGCAGGCACGATAGGTTCAAGTACTTGCTAAATAAGAATTGGTTATCAATATGAAAAACAGCTGTGCGGGATTGTACGATAGGAAACGGAAATTTTAATTTTGAATAAAATACCGGAACATAATAATAATTACATTAAAAAAAAAAACAGTATCTTAATATTTTGTACAATATTTTATGTGTACATATGAAATTATGAGGATAAATCCACTGATGCAGCTTTCAAGGCAAGTGTTTTCTATTATTTTCGACGATATCACGATTAAAATTTGCCCTACAGAGCCAAACCACCCTGCTCGGCTGACGATTATGATCTGTAGATATAAAAGCTTTAATAATTAATGTGATTGGTAGTCATCTGTTCCTCAATGAATGAGTGGAAATGGGGCTATGTTAATAGTTCTTGATCATATGTACGTTTATGAATACCAGAATTCAGATTACGTAAGATCTACTTTCGTAGATGCACACGTTATTACTTACGATTCTGGCAGGGTTAGATCCTTGAAATAACAGCCTTTGGCAAGATTAAAAGCGGATTAATTTTGGTAACGTTGAAACGGCTGTTGTGGCAATGCAAAAGTTATTGTTAACCAATGCCGTTGTTGTTGCAATTATCTCTAAAACGCTCTGGTTAACAATTATATCGAATTGTAGTGTAAACTCGAAATTTCCGATGTCATCAAGAAATCGCAGAACAAATCTTCTACTGAAATTGGCTTCAAATAAAACAAGAGTTTACTTTTATATTTGTAAACAAAAATATGTATATTATGTATTTCGTTTAAGTATGATCATCAATTTCACTACAGCTTAATTGCAAGTGTTAATTATAATATGCCCGCCCTACGTCGCCTAAATTTAAAAAATTCTGTATATATGCAACTTTTGCTATATTTTCTTTTTCAAAAATATTTATTATAGACAATTATTAGCATTGCATACACTTGTATAAGTGCAAACTAAAAGTAATAAAATAAAAACGTGTATATCTACGTTTGTACGTATGTGTTGGTGTGCCACTCTAACGAAACAATATAAATAAATTTACAAAATATAGATGTTACACATACATATTAAATGTACACATGTTAGATTTTTTATTCCGTATTATTATTATTATTTTTTTGCTAAGCGTGACGCAAGACGATTGCATTAGTATCACAAAATTTTAAAGTGTGTCCAACAGCATACATATTCGGCATCAAGTAAATTCAGTTTGTGATTTCAGACACAATTTAATTTTAACAAATATTTCCAAATATGTATAGATTAGTTGTTGACACAAATAACTATTCAGTTAATTCCACTAATTTTTAAAAGATCACTTGCAAGTTACTTTTTCGTTCTTCGTATTCTTTTATTAAGCATATTTTGTTGTGTTAAATTATAAATTTTAGAATGCAAGCAACAAGTTTTTGTTTCGAAGCAATCGATGACATTTAAATCAAGCAAAATAGTAGTTGGTTTTTAATATAATAGTGGTTAGCAATAAATATTCATGGAGAGCGCTATAGATGTATGTATCTAAATATATGCCATATAATGCATTTAAGCAATTTGTTTAAGTTTAGATTGTGTTTGCCAATCAAGTCAAAGATGTCACTTAGAGCTAAATATATAAAATTATATGTATGAATAGTATGTTAACAAAAAAATACTATTTATAAATTATATACAACTATAAACTAAATGAATTAAAGACTAAAAGAATAGGCGTTGTTTATATAGATGATAACGATGAATTCTAAGCGACTATAATTCGAAAATCAATCATAGTTGCATAGTAGAAAAGTTGGAAATAAGTCTAACGTTAGCTGTGTATATAAACGTTATCTAAGGCTTGTTAAACAGCGCTCCCATACAATCTTACTGCTACGGCCACAAGTGTTAAATTTGTTCAACCAACAATTTCGCTTTTGATTTTATGCACTGTGTAGCAACACTTTAAACGCTTGCACGCTAAAATTTATACTTACAACACAACACAAAACGCTTTGTTTTTTGTTTTTTTTTTGCTGGATTTTACATTTTCATTTCGTTTATCATTGCATTGCAGGCTGGCCTTGAATTGATTTCCCTGCGTATTCCTTACTCCACATATTTTCTGTCATCAGTTTTGTGCTTCATACAATCCAATTTCTATGTATTAGCTGAAAGTTGTCTATTTTCATTCACATACATCTACATGTGGTTAGCATTGCTTATAACATTTTTCGATTTTCTATTCCTGTTCATTTTATTCTGCTTTGTTTCGGCTAACTTTCCTATTTCAGTCAATTGTGTACATAATTTCTTCCTCTGCTCCCGTTTGCTCCGCCTCTGCTTCTGCTTCAAATTGATAATGATTTTTAAACGAATTGCCATTTTATGCGTATTTTTATTTAAAGTTTGCGCAATGTTAGTGCTGCATCTGTGGATTTGTTAGCTCCGCTGCTGGCCAACATCTGTTTCAAGCTGAATGAGGAGATTGCAATTCCAAAGACGGCCATCATGGTAGCGGAACGTGGCACTACGCGTTCAGGAGTCGCTGTGGTGAAGACACTACTTGACGACTGTGCTGAAGACTGTGAATTAAAGGGGATAGAAGAGTATAAAGATTAATGAAAATGCGAAAATGCGACAATTATGGATTGCTATAAATAAAAACAAAGTGTAACTATTATATAACATACTACATAATAAATACGTTAAATGGGATAAGATAAGCAAAATCAGATAACGCGTTAAATACATGATGGTTAATTGTTGGTACAAGTGATTGCTTGCTAATAATCATTAGCGAAATAGCTTCTGTATTTTGAAAAGGAATTTCACAATAATAGAAAGTAAATACATACATACATATGCGCATTTAATTATATTGCATTTTCACATTTCTGTTTTTTGTAAACAAATAAAGGAAAATGCGTGAAAAATACAGGCAGGCAAGGCCGCTTGGATTGGCAACGCCCGACAAATGTTAGGGTTAATTTTAGCAACACAATTTGCATATATAAAAATAAATGAAAGCAGCGCAGAAATTGGCAATATGCCCACTAAAGGCTGATTAAAAAATTATTCTATAAAATACATACTACATACATATGTATGCACATGAATACATACAAACCAGTTGCCGCCGAAATAGCAGACGTAAAAGAATTTACGCAGCGCCTAATTAAAAATTTCATTCAACAAGTCAAGTTCAATTTATCAAAAACGCAATAAAACGTAAATTAAACTATTACTAAGGAAGTCAAAACAAATTCGCCACCAAGCAAAATTTTCATCATAGCACGCGATTTTGTTTAGCAAGCGCCGTTCAATGAACTTATATGTCTATACGCAGCGCCATTAGCAACAATAACACAACGCATTTATTTGTAAACAAATACTTGAACCAATGGATACTACTACCTCTGTCAAGAGGAATTCGCCACTGGTGGGTACGATGTTATTTAGTCACTGACGTCGTTGTTATCTTTTTTTTTTATTTTGCATTACCTGGGCTGGTCGTTTCTAAGCGCGCGCCAGTTATGTAAACAAATATGATACCGAATGCTGTTGTATTGTTCTCGCTTTTTCTTGACAATACTACACATAAAAGGCAATTAAATACTTGCAGTAATTTATTATGTGTGACTTGGTGGTAAATTTTTTGCACTTCTAATGAATGGTATAATAACAATGTGTTGGAGAAAAAGTCACGTTAAGCACATGTGTTAATTACTAAGGGAGTTTATATTGAAATTATTTCTTATCTTTCATAATGTGTTCTATTTATAGCAAATCCAAATGCAAATATCATAAAAGAAACACTAAGCCCGCTAAATGCGCATTTTCTAAACGCTTGAGAAACTTGTCCGCATATGTCACCTTGACATGGAAAAACATATTCATTTCGAATTATTTCAAATAAGTGTTTAGTTGAACATGAAAATGCAAGATTACACATGCTGATTTGTATGCTTGAAGTCAAACTAAACTTTGTGTAATAACGGTTTTACTGATTTTTTGTACCTTGTAGTTTACAATAACCTATGAACTTCGCTTGGTATATTCATAAGCAATTCTAAAATAAAACGCATAGCAACAATCTCGTACGCTTCTAAAGAATGTCCAGAATAATTATCACCATAAAGAATGCTGATGATAAGCACTATCATACATATGCATGTTCCTACGATAAATTAAACAAACTACTCATTATTTATAAATAATAAAACACACTAGTTAATGTGCTTCAAATTTTCCACAATAAATCTTTATGATGCTATAAATAAATTTAAATAATTTACAATTATTAATAATTTCTATAAAATATACCATTATGACCGAAAATATTTCTTTATCACGCCAATACGTGTGTGTGAAAGATTAAAAAAAAAATGTTTAAAATTAGTAAAAGCAATATACATTTAGTTATCAAATGGGTGAATTGACGACTCGTCACAACGCAAATAAGCACACTTAAGCTTGTGACGTACATAAAGTGCCGACTACGACTGACATCAATCACATGAATTGCTGATAACAGCGTAAATTTCAATATTTCGCAGTTTCCAACTACATAACTGCATTACAGAGTAATCTATTCCGTAAATAGAAATTAATCGCACTATGTTATTTGGTGTGTGGAACGTTATAAACTTTTTAAATTTCAATTAATAAAATTAGAGATTCAGACCGCTCAAGAATATTTTAATAATAAAAAAATTAAATCAAGTATTTTTTTTACTGAAAGAGTTCAAGGACATTTTTTTTTGTGAAAATACAATAATATGCTCTGTTTTACAAATTTAAACACTTAAATAAGTACAATAATTGTTTTTGCTTGTTCAGCGTTTATTACATTGACAAATCGACATATTTTAAATGTTAAGTGCGTCAACGAGGATAAATACCCATATGGTTGTATGTAAATACAAATGCAGATTTAGCGCACAGATCCAGTTCGATGGCTTTCTGATTAACCAAAACAAATAAAACGCAAAATTAATAGCGTTAAGACAGGGCGAGACTCTTTCATTTCATATTCTTCATCTCCATCTTCATTATCATTAATTATTAAAAAATGAAAGTCAAGTCTTAAGAGATCATGCAACGGAAGCGTGCCGCCTGGCTTCGTTAAACTTTGCAATTAAATGAAATGCCTAAATATAGTAAAACATTTCATAAATTTTATTCTTTAGAATGCAAAAAATGTTTTCCAAGTAATGAAAAATTTATGAAACTAAACTTAAGCATTTTGCTTGCTAGTTGGTATAAATCTTATTTTTCTTATCATATAACAGTTAATATTAATCAGTTGTATTTAACATAGGCATTGAGATTTCTCAAAATCACACTGTTTCATTTCGTAAACTGTTTATGTTACGTATGACCAGCAATAAGGCAGTACTGGTTAAAAAAAAAAACCAAGCAACATACAAATACACAACCATATCACTTTTCAACTGACCTATGACAATCTAAAAATTTGTTTTGCCATTAAAACGACACAAAACTAGTTATTGTTGTTATAACCAAATTGTCGCCTGCTCATTTCGGTGTTTTATTCCTCAGCACTGCTAGCACATTTACCAAACTGCTCCCAGCTGCGTTCTCTGACTTTGACGATTGCTGTTGGTTTTTATTGGTGCGTTTTTTACGTTTTGTAAATGCCTTTGGAAACATTTCCTGTTTCACGCGCAAAGTATCAAAGTAACGAGAAATGCGCATTTTGGTATCCTTATTTGTGCTAGCTGTGTCTGTTTGCATAGATGGCGCCTGCACAACCGGTTGTTCTTCAATATATTCGGTTTTAATTAGTTCAAGAGATTTTATTGAAGCTTTTGGCATATTCGTCGCATTATCTTCAATCCTACTACTTGCAAGTCCAGCTTTAACTGTCTGTATGCTTTGTATTTCGATTTGGGGTTTATTATCTATTTTAACTTCAGGTAGGCGTTCTTGTTCTGTTGTAACAGAAAAATTATTGCTGAAGTCAAAACTTATTACAGGCATATCAAACTGTGTAATCGGTGCAAGCAGAGTTGATTCAACTTCTAACGATTTTGATTCACACCTTTGCGCTGGTTCAGAATCACAATTGCTAAATAAAGCGTTAATAAAACCAACACCTTCTGTTTGCAAAGAAGTATCCAATGTGGCAGATGTTGTAGTACTTTCTGCATGGTTCGCTAATGCGTTAGTCTGCTCCAAAAATTCAGATTGACATACCTCCTGTTTTATGTTCATTACCATAGTCGTTTTCGCAACATCGTTATTGTCGCTAGTGCTAAGCAGCGCTTCCACAAAACGTACACTGTCTGCATCGTCGCATTCATTATTAACAAAAGAAATTACATCAATATCGGGTAGAGAACTTGGTTTGGGGGAGCAATTTTGCTTTTCTTCGGCATAATTTGCATCTTCTGAATCAGAAAAGTCATTCACATAAGGATATAGGCAAGATGAACTTTCACATTTAACTATTTGTTCATCTATGTCAATATAAAATGTTCGCAATCTATGGCTTTGGCCATTCTGCTGACATTCCAGGCAGATATCACCAGGTTGAAATGTGCTCTGTTCCATGAGTAAGTATATGAAAGTAGTGTTCCGGATGATTCTCGACGTTTGAATTGTTTATACAACCTTAAGCAGAAATGCTTTGTTATGATTGTGTTATACATAAAAATGTGATTAATGGGAAGGAAGTCGAGCACAATTCAACCTGCTGGCAGTAAACTGTATGGATTGTATTATTTATATATGTCAATATATATAAAGCAGTTATGCTTTGTTAACGAAACTTAAATATCTTATTGTTTTAAACGCATAAATAATTGTATAAGAGGGTAATGCGACCACACTTGTAATGTTTACCGTTTATGACAATTTGTGCTCGCACTCCCTCCTCCAAATTTAATTACTGAAAATTATAATCGCACTCACCTGTCCAAAACTCATACGAAGCGCATATTGTACCACACTTGAAGTTCTCATTTTTTACACAAATTTATATTTAACGATACTACTCCGCACGGATTGGCAAAATTAAATCAAATATCTGAAATACAAATAAAAACATCCAGATAAGTTACTGCTGGAGAGGTAATTCATTTTATATAAATAAATATCAATTGATTTGGAAAGAAATGTCCTCATTGACCCTTTGCTCACAAAAAAAATTATCGCATTAACGTTGGTCACTAAATCAATAAGACTGTGTGCAATGCGGCACCGATTTGATTCACATTCAATATACCAAACGCAGAATTCACGCACCACAGCAATTTTATAGCCTACACTTGTTCTTGGTTAATTATTTCCTTCATAATATCACTTACATAACAAAGAAATTTTTTAGAAATTACTACTGAGCAGGTGGGTTATGAGCCCGTGTGTGGCAGCGCACAATGTCAATTCGAATTTAGCAAATGCACTTACTTTGATAATATTTTTGTTATTCTATTGCTGGGATGCGTTTCTGTACTGCAACTAGCGCTATTCTTCCACAGATTATATTTAAAATTAAAGGTGTAAAAAGAAAATCGTAGAGTTCAGCAAAATTTATTCGCGTGCAACTCACAGAAAATCTTCTAGAGAAAAGAAACACTCAAAACAGAGTTGCTGTATTAAATAAAAATATGCTCCAAAACTACCTTGTCATTTAAAAATAATTTTGGTTATACTTTTCGAACTGAAATCTAATTTATTTGAATTTGAACTGTATTTCATAACTACGACTTAAATACATTTATATATATATGCAAGCTTTGCTTTAAAATAAAAACAAAATGTTGTTCAAATTACATTAATTTCCTAGTCCTCATCACATTTATTTTAGTAATCTGCCACTAGAACCTATTTAATTGGCATCACCAATTCTAATCGCATACAACTTTGCTCATACCTCAGCTGTTCGATTCTTGTCAAAGTGATTGAAAACTCGTGTTGTGTAAAATTTCCTTGCGCATATAAATTATTGATCGTATTCAGATTTCATAAATTTTTGGCTACATTTAACTTAAACAGAGCAAAATGGCATTATCACCTGGTGTAAAGGAACGTTTAGAAGTGGTTTATGATGTCGCAAAGACCACGTTCCACTGGGGTTTCATTCCAATGGTTATTTACTTGGGTAGGCTCTAATTTTTGGTTAGCACAAAAAATATCCGCGAATATAATTTTATCATGTTTCTATTAAAGGTTTCCGTAAGGGCGCTGAACCCGGCATGCCACCACTGTCGATATTGAGCTTGCTTTGGCAATAAATCACTCTTTTCTATCTTTACGGGGGGATTCATAAGTGGACACATCGTACCGAAGTGTTCTCGGTAATGATTACGTGCTTTAGTATGTTTAAAATAAAATAATAAACTTGTTGAATATATTATGTTTTTACTAATATTTTCTTAGCTGAACTAAGAAAATTTGTATTCATATGGAATCCAATTCATATTTGAGAAACAAATTGATAAGAAGAAAACTGAAGTGATAAAACTGATTGAGTAACCTCCAGGAAAATTTTAGTGTAATCTCGGCTGTCAAAATTACTTTTTATATATGAACCGATACTTCTAATTTGAGGAATTACTCATTTTCTTAAGTAAACGTTAACATGGTACCACCACAATTTGTTTCCCTGAATTGGCATTCATCCTGTTCTGATATTCACTGCATTATAAAAGTTTTTAGTTCCATTATTAATTTCCAACTTGTCAAAGAAAATAATAGATGTTTAAATTTTTTTCCTTAACGCATTGTTTTGAGGCAGTTTAACAATACTTTGTGCACATAGTTAAAAGTACGGTTATCTTTGTATTTGCTATTTCCGTTCTTAACTTTTAACCCTTGTACCTCAATACATCCTTGTACAAGTAACTGAAAGTCAGTTACATATAAAAGCTTATTAGAAATGACTAAATATATTAATGAGAGCATAGTGAATATAATGTTTACTTAATTTTTAGTTTTCATAATATTTTAAATAGAATTTCGTGATAATAATTTCTGATAACATTAAATTTGTGACACCACGATGTGGCAGCACACATAAATACCAGCACAAAATGAAACGTCAATTGTTTTCAAAGTGCTGCCAGCTAATAATATTCATTAAAGTAATGTAACAGCTAATAATATTATTACTGCCTATTATGTATAACATTTCTATAAAATATATGGCTAGCAAATTAAAAACGGTTTATTACACTTTTACGTATGTTACAAGCTTGAATATATATTTGCTATAGAAGGCAAAAATATTCCTTCCATAAATTTAAGTGTGGCAATGCCATACTATATCTCGAGTTTGTTTCGGCTGCGGTAGTGATTCCTTCGTTTGGCGATTTTCGCGCAAACGGTTTCCGTAAATTTCGCGTAAACATGCTAAAAATTTATATAAATTTTTAATTGGAAATTATAGAATGCCTCCGCAGTCGGTGTTGAATGTTTTATTAATATTCAATTAGTGAAAATCACGTGACCAATTTATTGCAAGACATAATTGGCGCAGTGGCGACCAAATTTTTTTTTCCAATCAGAAGTGGCAGGTAGGCAGTAATCGTTTCTGCTGTGAATGTGAAAAGTATAAAGTGTGATAAAGCATTGGAGAACGAAAAAATATTGCAATAATAATAATCGGTCAAAGTGTAAGGAATCGGAATACACGATTAATAATATTTTCATCACCATTCACTGCATTTGTATTCAGTTGTTGATTTATTAATGAAAATTAGTGTGTGAGAAATGCAAAATTTGGGAATCACTTGAAACAGTCTAAATGCAATTAACCTACTCGTTGCCACTTTTTGAGCCGCCTCCCTCTTTGGTGGAGCGCTGCTTATTCCAACTTCTCATTGTTAACACATGTCAACAGCAGTACTTTAAAAGCAGTACCAAATCCATAAACACCTTTAGTTGTACCATCAACCTTTGTAAGAAGCAAGTGCTACGATATCGGTCTATAAAAAATTAGAGAATATTAAAAAATTCTTTGAGTGAAGTTATTTGTGCGACAACGCGCTGTTAAATAATTGCTAAGGATTTAACAATTAGACATTTTTAACAATATCGGACAAAAAAGGAACAAATATAAACACAAAATGTCGGAATTGCGTCGACGAAGGCACCAAACTCAACTGACACTAGCCTCTTTGGTTTTAGCATCGACTCCATCAGCGCAGCAACGGAAAAAGCCACCAGTTTTGTGGTCACTATCTCTTATAATGGTTTCTTCAATTTTTTTGTTGTTGCTCCCAATGAGACCAACCGATGGTAGGTAAAGAATTGATCCTATCAACAGAAAAATTTACAATAGCCTTCCTTTTAGCCACACCCATTGAAATAGTGTTTAATACCACACGCAATTCGCCAAATGTGGACACCACAGTAAGCAAGTGGATGTCTCCTAATGGTAATGTAAATAATAATGCTGCTAATGGAAGTGTTCGTAAAGGAACCGTTCGTCATCAAGAGAATACGTTAGTAGCTACAGTGCCATCATCTGCATCGATATCGGCAACAGCTGGTCGAATGGATATGGGTAACAACAATTCAAAGCACGATGATACATTGCCCATAGTGTTAGTGTCGCAACAGACCACTTTATCAACGCCGTTGTTGCACCAGCTTAGCGGACACAACAGTAACAGTAATAAGCGAGAGAGTAAGCAAATGTTGGAATCACAATTTTTTATTTAATAGATTTTATACATAATTTTCAACGTAAAAAATATTTTAGAGATTTTCTTTATATTGTGTAGTATTCCAAAATACTGACACCTATGTTAGTTTAAAAAGCTACCGTATCTGTATTAAAAGTGCGAGATGTGCAATATGTTGAAGATTATAGTCCTCTACATATGTTTAAACTTTATGCATTCATATAGACGAAATGATTCAGAAAATCGAAGATATCATTTTTTATAACTTATAAACAATGACTAAAATTTCTACTCGATGGAGTACTAAAGTTTTACTTAAAATTTTCAAAGAAAATAATATAGTTAATATTATGTGACCGTTAAAGTAATTTGTATTCTTAGCACATCTGTAAATAATTTCTGCTCAAAAGCAATCGTGTCGGTAATGTCTGACTTAAGAAAACTTACAATTTTACCGAGTTAAATAAGGAACAGTCAAAATGTGTTGCCAGCTTATATTTGTGTACGCATGCAATAAGAAGCTAATAATAACAGAATAAAACCTGAAAAAGCGCATATATGTACATATTAATTATATGAAGCGCCAGTGCATTGCATACATTATAGCCAACGCTCGTTCCACCACTAATTACAGCGATGATTGTAAGAAAAGTTGATTTATTCATTTCTCCCCTTTGGCATTGCGCAGATATTTTGGAAAAGCGTCTCATGTTTATCTAAATTACATACGATACATTAGCATTTTCATGCACGTCACACAATTTGCCTTAGGGCGCACTACCATGCTACAGGCATTACTCGTCGATAAAATAGTGCACATAAGGCGAATGGTAGAAAAACTTAAATTCATTATTGTGCTAATGGTTCAACAATCAGCTGAGTGCAATGAGCTACACGATATGTGCAGATAACGGTTTTTTTTTTTTTTTTTTAGATTTTCTTTTTGATTTTTTTTTCTCATTTATAGTTGTGCTTGTTTCAAATTATGCCATTTGTTTTGTCATACCCTAAACAGGGTATATTAAGTTTGTCACGAAGTTTGTAACACCCAAAAGTAAACGTGACGAGCTGTGTCCGTTTGTCTGTCCATGTACCTATTTGTATATACGCGAATTAGTCACTCAGTTTTTGAGATATTGATCTGAAATTTTGCAAATGTCCTTTTCACCCAAAGAAGCTGCTCATTTGTCGGAACCTCCGATATCGGAGTACTATATCATATAGCTGTCATACAAACTTAACGATCAAAATCTTGTACTTGTATGAAAAACTTTTTAATTTGATGAAATATCTTCTCGAAACTTGGTCTAGATTATTATCCAAGGTACTGCTAAAATCCCCGAATATATAGTGTAGATCGGTCTAATATAGCATATAGCTGTTATACAAACTGAGCGATCAAAATCAAGTTCTTGTATGGAAACTTTTGTATTTGTAAGGGGTATTATAGCTAACGTTTTTTCTTGCTCTTTTTTTATATTTAGTTGTGTTTGTATGAAATTATGCCATTTGTTTTGCTTTTCAGTTCTTTTATTTATCAAAGAGAAGTCGCACTTGAGAGTTAATTGTTGTTATATTTTGCAATTAAAACACAAAATTCACACTATAAGTTGATTTAGCGTACAATGTGTAGTGAGAATTGAAGCGTTACCTAATTATTTATTTAGTTGTATATCTGCTTTGTACTTGTTTTGTTGCATATTTATTTAAACTATACAAAATATGGCAAGAAGCCACAAAAGACGCACATATAACGTGTCCATTTAAATGAATTATAGCTTTTACATGCTTTTCAGCGTAAAAAATAAATAAATGTAAATAAAAATGCAAGTGCAAATGCATATGCATGCGTGTATGTATGTATATATATGTAAACACGTACATACATACACACATATAACTGTGTGTAATTGCATATGAGCCGTATCAATCGAGCTTTCATTAGTTAGCAAAGTTCTGTTGCGCTTGTTTTTGTTTATTTTGAATTTTAAGCACACAATCAAGTGTATGCACTTACATGCATACAACTGCAAATGTACATACATATGCGTATGTATGTATATATGTATATTTATGCACATAAATTTATTATTCGATTTCAAATGCATTGTTTCCACTTCATACACTACTTGTTTGTGTTCATATAGTTGTTTTAGTTGTTGTAATTATTTTCATTTCAATTAAATCTCGTTTATTATTTGCTGATTCGTTAATATATTTTCGAGTTATGAAAACATCAGTAAAAACAAAAATAAAAACAAATAAAGCGGTGCGGTGTGACAGCGGTAGTTACTAAGGCTAGCGCCAGTTACTTGTATATGAGTGCGTCTACTGCTGTCATAGTTGTTGCAACGTTTCGTATAGAAACTCCAATGAAAATCAAATCACTCAGTTGCAAGCAAACAAACAGGCAGTAAGCAGATAATGGAATAGCGCGTTGTGTTGTACAGAATTCACACATTTGCATAGTTTTATTGAAAAATCAAAATTCCAAAGCAATTAAAACAGATGTTTTTCTTCCCTATAAATACTTATGCAAATACAGAAAAATTTTCAGTTTTGTTTCTGTTTTCATTTAGCAAGTAAACAAAACAAGCTAACTTGTAGAGCAATTCTATAATAGTATTTAAAAAAATTTAGATTTTGAGCTTATATATTGCAATAGATATCGAATTACTATAGCATAGAGCTGCCATATAATATGAACGATCAAAATCAAATTCTTGTAAGGCACACTTTTTTATTTGACGTGATATCTTTACGAAATTCGGCATATATTATTGTATAAGGCAACACCAGAACCACGGAATATATTGTGCATTTCGGACTACTATAGCATGTACTTACATAGCCGCCATTCTAACTGAACAATCAAAAAAAAAAAATTGTACAGAAACTTTTCCATTTGTGGGGTATTTCTTGTTACTTATAATTATGTTCTAATTTAATTAGTTTATGCAACAACTTGACAAAGTTAAGCCTCTTTTAATACAGTTTCTTAACAATTTTAAAAAGAATTCTATAATACCATAACATTTTGTTTGTAACGAAATTCGTATGCACCGAAAACTCTAACTTTATCTTCCTGATTGACAAGTCGTCAACTCATTTAGGTATACCATATATTGTATAATAATATGTATTGACTGAAATTATTTTTATTTTTCCGGAAATCACTGTACTTCGCCCTCACTTATCCACCAATACCAGCAAGCAGCGGTGTGTGCCGTAGTAACAGCTGTTTAACGTTCGAATACGTCATTGCATTTGTTTACAAACATATCACTATACATACAGATGTACATGCAAATGCGCAGAAATATAACATGTCTGTATGTACATACATATGTTTTTCTACATATGTATATACATAAATGCGGTATACAAATTCAGTCGATCTCATTTTTCGTAACACAGTTTATAATATATAAACGTCGCGTCGTCTGCTAAAATCACAAAATGTTTTGGTTTTGTTCTGGTTTTTTTGTTTTTTTTTTTACTTTGCTTATAATACAAATCACATACTTATATGTATGTATATATAAATTATGTTCTTATTTCCATATAGAGCACATGTGTATGTGCATATACTTATAACTACCTAATAATCAATGAGCCATCTAACCTTTACCCCCTTTATACGTTTTACACACTACAGGGCCGCTGAAATGTCATTGTGACATTTGTAAGGACACGAATTTCATATGTGAAACGGACGGCTATTGCTTTACGTCAGTGGTGAAGGATGAAGACGAAACCATATTTAGCTACAGGTAAATTTTGACGTTTTTCCAACACTAAAACCCAAATATTTATATATTATACATGAATTCTATAAATGTAAAAACATAAAATTAGTAGTTATTTTCATATTTGAATTATTATTTTTATTTTATTTTTAAAATCTTACTGATGATTGGCCAACATAAATGCGTAATCTCTATATGATTTTTTTCTTCGTTTTTTTTTTGTTTCTACCTCCGCGTCTTAATATCCACCACTTTTGTTTTATTTTTCCGCGCACACGTGCAGGTGCCTTAATATGTCTCAGAGTTTTCCGCCTGGTCGTTTCATTTGGTGCAATGACGGCAGTCGTGGTGGGCCTACAGCGCGCCCGGCTGCTCCTAGCGGCGGGCATGGTTGCTGTAATGATCACGATTTGTGCAATTTAGCCTTGCGACCCATTATAAAATACTATACCACAAATTCGCAGCAGGCTTTTGAAGGTGCGCAAAGTGTTGAAAGTCTAAAAAGTTACATCCAAATTGGTGCCACTGTTTTTTCTTTTTTGCAATGTGTGAGCGCGAGAGCAGCAGCTGCAATTGTTTGATATAGTAAAATATTTTTTTAGTTGACAGTTTTAAACATGTAATACAAGGCAGTTTAAAAAAATATTTTTCAGTTACTTAAAGGCATGCTTTGAGCTTTTACTTATTTTAAGCTCATATATACATATTTTTTTCCAATAAGCTGCGTTACGCGTTTTTAAATTCAAAACTTTTAGTTAAAAAATTAGATTTCGAATTTCTAACTCCAATTTTGGGATTTTAAAATAAAATTCTCAATTTTGAATGTTTGGCATAAAAACTAAATTTTTAAATTTTATATGAAAAATATTTTGTTTTAATAATTGAGAAAATATTTTTAAATTTAACAGAAACACTATAATAAAAAGCAATTAAATATATATAATTTTTTATTAAAAATGAACTTTTCCTTTCGAAAGATACGCGTACAATTAGAAATTCTAAAACCATTTCTTTTTTTAATCGTTAAATTAAATTTGTGATTAATTTTTTTTATGCTGCAAGCCAGTATTTATGATTGAAAATTAGTTCAAATAAATTTTTAGTCCGATTTTCGGAATTACAATTAAAAAAAAAATCAAAATTTTTAAACATTTAAAAGTTATGCTTAAGATTTTCGGGATTAAAAAAATTATTCAATAATTTTTTAGTGCATTATTTGCAACCCTGCTCATAAGCATATTAGGGTAATTACAATAAAATCTTTTAACAAAATTTGCAGCTATACTAACGATTTTTTTTCTGAAATCGATAGTTTTTCAGTCATATATAGAATTCCTACATCAAATTAAGCACTTATTAAATAAAAAAAATATAGTTTCTACTAGTATCCATTTTGAGGTTAAATTATTGATTTTGCATTTTTTTTTTTAGAAATTAGGCGTTGTTGTTTACAGCTCAGCGCAAAAGCATAAATAAATTATTTTTGTTTAGCTTTCTATGTTAAAGGATAAATGTAAAAAAAAAATGCAAAATCCTACTCTTATGAACTTTCGTAAATCTTCGTGTGTAGGTGCTGCTCTCCGCACAACTGTAAAGCGCATTTTCTAATTGAAATTAAAAAATTTCATTGGCTGCCGCTGCTAATTTTATACATGCCTGTTTTGTGATGTTCTTTTCACCATTTTTCCCCACCCACCAACCAACAACATTTGTTATGTCTCGTTTTACGAACGTTATTTGCCCGCCCAAGCGCCTACTAAACAAGTAATTCTACGCTGCTGCGTTGAGCATCGTTTCTTGTTCTCTACAAATTATTGTTTGAAAACCTTTTTCTGTTTTTTTTTTTCTGTTTTGCGTTCAATGAAATACTAAACTAGCAACTAAATTAATTCAAAAACTATCTATATTGTTATATTTTAAAATTTTGCTTTTATTTTTATTGTTTTGAAAAAGTTTGAACTAACCAAATTCTTACTGCTCGAAAATTTCTATACTAAAAAACAAAAAAAAAAAAACAAAAAACATTGATTTGAATTTGTATTTAAAAAAAATATCTGTTTACTAGTACTACTAATTGTTTTATTTTCGAATAATGTTTTAATTCCTCGTAAAAAATACAACAACAACTCAAATAATGGCAACCAAATGCGTTGTTGTATTTGTACAATGCACATAGGTGCCTAGAAAAGAAGTATGATCTGCAGCGTGAACCGCTCGAATGCCTGACTAGCCGTGAGAAAAAGAACGTCTATATAGTTCAATGTTGTAGTGTCGACTTCTGCAATAAAAATGAACTATTGAAATTGAGTTTTGGGACAGGTACGGCAAAGGCTACATCACTTACCCACATACTACTCTTACTACTACACTCACTATTAGTTAATGCTACTATATATTTACTACTCCTTATCGTTTTTTTCAAAAGTATTTTATTACTAGCGTAATTTTTTAAACGGAATGCAAGCAGTACACAACATTTTTTTTGATATATAATTAAAATTATTCACTACACTGTCACTTACCTTGCAACTTACAAATTTTTGAAATAATTTTTTAATTTCATAATATTATTTAGTGGGGTTTTAATTGCGCAACAACGGTTTATTGCTTATTTTATATTTTTCATTCACAATTATTAGTTTAAATGTAGTAAATATTTTTTTAAAGATATTTTAGTTACTTATTTTTTGCACTGTATTACAAAGCACACTGCCTGCACACACACACACACGCACGTGAACACAAATACGCACGCACGCACTTTCGCCACTTAATACGACTCTTTTTATTAGTTTGTTTCTTGGTAACGAGCTCAATTATTTTATTTGTTTCAAGCATTGATTTTGAGGGAAGTCTGTGAGGATATAAATGTAGGCGTGAGTTTGTTACTAAGTGAGGAGTTTTACTTAGCTAGGGTATCTTATGACAGTTACTATGCAACTAGTGTAAAGTCTCACTTTATGCCTTCTTTGATTCGATCCAACAGCCAGTAACGCAACTACATTCAGCAGTGAGGGAAGCTGGGAGGCACATTCGAGTCCATAGAGTTTTGGACGACGCTCCGCACTTATGGGAAAAAACAAATTGTTTGTTTGGAATTTTTTATATTTTTATCTTAAAATTATAATTTTTTTATATATATAAATTTCCAATATTTTTTTTGAAGATAAATCAAATACCCCGGCCTCGGAGGAGGGTCATAATGGCTAAGTCTTTGTATTAATAAATCAGTAGTTATTGTTGTTGTGATTGTTGTATTTTAAATTAAGGTCGTACTAGGAGAAAAGAAAAGATTTTTTTTGTTCACATAATAAATTTTATATATAAATAAATATTTGAAATAATATCCTTTTTTAAGTAATGATGCTCAGTTTTTGATTTGTAAACTTTCTAATTTTAATAATTTCTGTTTGAATAACTGTTATTTTTAATATTTTTGCATAACTTTATTTCAATTCTTCATTTTCTTTAATTTTCAAAATATAATTATATTTTAAACTAAAATTTTTTAAATTATGTTTTCTTAGTATATTTTTAAATATTCGTTTTATGGTAATAATGTATTTTTAAAATAAAGAACACTTATTTTTAATTTTAATTTTATGTTTTTAATAATTTGTTTTTTCATTTTCCAATACTTTTTTTAATAATTTCTTTTTCTTTAATTTTTCAAATATTTTTTAATTTTAAAATATATGTATCATACATTCTTTTAATCTAAAATAAAAATTTTTGATTCTAAAACTTTTTGGAGTGTTTTTTAATTTTCTAATATTTTTAAATATATTTTTAATTAAATTTTTTTTAATATAATTTTTTTAATATATATTATATATAATTTTTAAAATATTATATATATTTTTTAAATAATAAATTTTTATATGTGTATTATATATGTATATGGTATATTTATCTCTTTAAAATAATTCTTTTGTTTTAATTTTTAAATATATAAATATTTATTTCAAATATACATACGTACCTGTTTTTAATCTAAATACATTTTTCTAATCTAAAACTTTTTTGAATGTTTTTTAATATCTTCAATATACTTTTTAATTTTAAATATTTTTTTGATTTTAAATATATTTTTTGATTTTAAATATATTTTTTATTTTTAATATATTTTTGATTTAAATATATTTTATAAATATTTTTTTAGTATGTTTTTTTTAATATTTTTAGTATGTTTTTTAATATTATTTTTAATATAATATATATTATATAATATAAAAAAAAATATACAATAGCATTATGTATATTGTATATATATTTGTTAAATAATATATACATTTTTGAATAATATATTTTATATACATATGCAGTACAAAATAACATTTTTTTCTTAAAAATATTAAAAATATTTTTTAACTTATCCTTATTTTTTTCATAGTTTTCCAATATACATATCTAAAAAATTTTTTTTTTAATTTTTCCATCTTTTTTATATTTTTAAAATATTTTGTTTTAATTTTTCAAACATGCAGTAATTAAAAATTAATTTTTTTGGGGTTTGTGCTAACGGTTTCTTGTATTATAGCTAATTAAACCACTTTTAATTATTTTTGCACATTTTATTTTTAACACCAGCTCAAAAACAAATACACTCAACTCTAACTGTGCATTACAAAATTTTTCTTCAGAATTTATCTTTTTATGCCGCACTGTAGTTTGGTAATGCTAATGCAGTTCTAGCATGTTCCGTTACTTACAATATATCTAAATAATAGCAGTGATTTGAAATATTCTTACATACAGTTATAACCAATGCATTAATGCATATGTACATATGTTATGTTTGATTATTGAATACATACATACATATTTAAAAATATTTAACTTACTGCATCCCTTTGTGCTCTGCCTATATTTGGGTTGAATTGGCTATAACCGATTACTTGTGTAGTATTGCTCTTTGCATATAAATAACCTATTTAAGTAGAATATATCTTTCTTATAGTAAATGCATAACAACATTTGTAACTGGTTGTGGTTTTAATAATGCAGTACAAACAACAAATAGTATCGATAATAAACAGTAATGCATACATATACTCTAAATCTATATACATACTCGTTTGTATATGCAATTATTACTATAATACAAAAATATTTATATTTATATTTTAGAATAACAAGCCATTTGCAAATGTGTGCAACAAATTTTAAAACGTTTTTTTTTGACATTTCCTTCGCTCAATAGTAAATAAATTAGTCCTTAGTTTTCAAAAAAGATCTTTCTCTTGACTGGGTCTATAGTTCCATATTATTAATTATTTTATAAAATAATTTATACATACATACAAAATTAAAAAAAACTTGTTGAGTAGTAAAAAGTTATTCATAAAACTCGCAAAATATAACACAAATATCTTTCTTACTTCTCCGATTTTAAGTTTTTACTAAATGGATAAAAATATGATGAAAGTCGAAATATCGTATGAAAGCTTTAAATTATGCTTTTGCAACATACAAACATACATACTATGTATGAAGTAAAAGCTTTGGAGCTTTCACTAAGTTTTCTTGAATATTCTTCCAAGTTTTATCTGAACCTGATTATAAATTTGTTTGTAAATGAGTTTACATTCAAGCTAAGTTAAGCTTTAAGCTTTTTAATGCTCTGATATTGTTTTTTAATGTTTTAACTTTTAACTTGTGATACTTTGCTGATAAACTTTCTTTTAGATTTAAAAATACAATAGTTTGGGTTTTTTGCTGAAGAAAATTGAAACATATGGTTCCAATTCACTGTTTTCAATCATAGACACGTTTTCTTAAGCCTTTCTCTAAAACTTCTAATTTAAATGTGTGTTCCGAAAATGTAACAGCTCAATCCGAACATACAGTACATGTGTTACAAAAGCTTTAAAAGTTAACTTTCACTCGACTTTAACAGCAGCTTTCATTCAAGCTTTCACAATCTATCTATGATTTTTAAGTGAGTGCTTTCGCAATAATATAATTGCCATTGTAGACATGCTAAGGCGTTTTATTAAAACGAGATTACTAAAGGCATCTTATTGGATAAATAATGGCTTTCTTTATGCTACACCTTATAAATCTTTAGCTTTGAGGTTATGGTTTTTAAACTTTTTGCCTACAATTTGCTTTTCACAAACATCATACATTCATATAAACACCGTTGATCCACTTGATCCAAAATATAGTGTTAGTTGTATAATTAGCAGGCAATTAAAGTGTGTCATACCCTATCAGGATAAGTTCTAAAAATAATGGAAAAGTACCCGGAATTATTTACAATTTTTTTCTTTATAAATTGTTGCGTGTGTGGCATTGTGTGTCTTCACTTAATAGTGATAAAAATAAGTGAGCTTTTCTTAATACAATTTGAGTAGAACTTGGATTAATTTCAAAGTTTTATAAAGCCTATAAGTTTCCATAAATGCGACAATCTGAACCCGAACGGCTTGTGCCGTTATCTGTGCGCTGAAATGCATGTGTAAGCTTGATAAGCAAATGCCGTTGCAAGCAAAGCATCGACGGCCACTTCAGACTAACTAAACGCGATGAGTATTTGAGGTGCTCGCAAGTGTACACTAAACTGCCACCAACAACGATGTAACCAATCCAGCTGCCAATATCATCGCACAGCAGCAAACAACAACAGCGAACAGTTTACGACATATTGCAATATATATTATTTATGTTTTGCATCGCAATGTTGGTTTTTGTTGTTGTTGTTATTGTTGTTGCAAGCTGTTGTTTGTGTGTTGCGGGCTGTTGCGGTCAAACCACCCTCGTTTGGAGCGTGTCAGTTAGACATGCAGTGAGCTAGGCAGGCAGCAGCCAGCCACTGACAGTCATGGTCTTGGCACTGTGCCTTGCTCTCTCCAAGGCTGTCGGCGGTCTCAACTATATAATACTTACATACATATATATACTTATGTTTGTATATGTACATATATGCTGGCGTTTATGTTACCTGTGTGTTGTGTAATTATGGCTGCAAGCGTTGTTGTAGCCATTTTCTCCTCCGTTCATGCCGTCTGGCGTACACCGCGTATGCGTAACATATCTACATTGGGGTAGGCTCGCTCGCCATACATACATACCTAGTATATTGATTTTCATGCCTGCGTTGTGCTTGCATTTTGTATGAACGGGTGTTTCTTCGCTCTTTTGCATTTTGAGTTTTTCGCATTTACGTATTTGCATATATATTTTGTTTACCGGCTTTTTGTTGCGCAAATTGAAATCAAAATTGACGTCAGCGTATGTATGTATGTATGTAGCGAAAGTGAAATGCATAGCAGAGGCGTGCGCATAAAGCGAACATATGTATATGTAAGCAGTGC